ACCCCAAAGATTCCACATGAAAACTACTGAAACTCATAGACATATCTGGCAGAATAGCAGAATACAAAATCAACATACAAAAAGTAGAATACAAGATCAACATACAAAAATCAGCTGGATTCCTATACACCAACAAAGAGAACTTTGAAAAGGAAATCAAGAAAACAATACCATTTATAACAGCCCCTAAAAAACAAAAGACTTAGGAATAAATCTAACCAGGGATGTAAAAGACGTATACAAAGAAAATTACAAAACACTATTGCAAGAAACCAGAAAAGAACTACATAAAAGGAAAAACACATCAGGCTCATGGATAGGAAGACTCAACATGGTGAAAAAGTCAATTCTACCCAAAGCGATCTACAGCTATAATGCAATCCTGCTCCAAATACCAAAAGCATTCTTGAACAAATGGAAAAACTAATCACTGATTTATACGGAAAGGAAAGAGGCCCCAGATAAGCAAAGCATTATTGAAGAAAAAGAAGAAAGTAGGAGGCCTCACACTACCTGATCTCAGAACCTACAATACAGCCATGGTAGTCAAAACAGCCTCCTACTAGTACAACAAAAGACACAGACCAATGGAAAAGAACTGAGAACACAGATGTAAATCCATCCACCTATTGTCAGCTGATCTTTGACAAAGGGCCAAAGTTCATTAAATGGGGAAAAGACAGTCTTTTTAACAAATAGTGTTGGCATATATGGATGTCCATCTGTAAAAAAAAAAAAAGAAGCAGGACCCATAGCTCACACCATACACAAAAACTAACTCAAAATGGATCAAAGACCTAAATATGAAACCTAAAACGATAAAGATCATGAAAAAAAAAATAGGGACAATGATAGGGGCCCTAATACATGGCATAAATACAATACAAACCATAACTAACAATACACAAACACCAGAAGATAAACTAAATAACTGGGAGCTCCTAAAAATTAAACACTTATACCCATCCAAAGACTTTAGCAAAAGAATAAAAAGTGAAACTATAGACTAAGAAAAAAATCTTGGCTACAACATCTCTAAAATTTATGGAATACTTCAACATTGCAACAACAAAAAGACAAATAATGCAATTAAAAAATGGGCAAAGGATATGAACAGACACTTCAACAAAGAAGACATTCAGGCAGCTATCAGACACATGAGAAAATGCTCGCTATCACTAGCCATTAGAGAAATGCAAACCAAAACTACAATGAGGTACCATCTCACCCCAACATTACTGGCACTAATCAAAAAACAGAAACTGAAAAATGCTGGAGAGGCTGCAGAGAGACTGAAACTCTTATCCACTGCCAGTGAAATGTAAAATGGTACAAACCACTATGGAAAACAATATGGCATCTCCTTAAAAAGCTAGAAATAGAAATAGCATACAATCCAACAATCCCACTACTAGGAATATATTCTAAAGAAATAAGAGCCATCACATGAATAGACATATGCATACCCATGTTCACTGCAGCATTATTCACAATTCCAAAAGATGGAAACAACCTAAGTGCCCATCAACAGATGAATGCATAAACAAATTACAGTATATACACACAATGGAATACCATGTAACAATAAAGAACAATGACAAATCCGGGAAACATCTCACAACATGGATGAATCTGCAGGGCATTATGCTGAGTGAAATAAATCAATCACAAAAAGACAAATATTGTTATGAGTCCACTATTATAAAAACCCAAGAAAAGGTTTACACACAGGGGAAAAAAAATATTTGGTAGTTACCAGGGATGGGAGGGGGAAGGAGGGAAAATTATTAAATAGATAGAAGACTCATGTTAATACTGGTGAAGGGAAAAGCCGTACACAACATGGGGGAAGTCAGCAAAATAGGACTAAGGCATTGGAGGGCACTGAGAGGAACGCCAACAACAAAGGGCAACAACAGTAATTACTACAGCATAGGCAATCCTGCAACAATAGTTTTGCCAAACAATTTACAAACGGATACACAGGCAGATAGGTAGACCAAGAGGTGTGGGAGGGTGTAAGGGAACACAGTCACCTGTAGATATAGGTTTAGTAGTGGATATTTCTACATACATAACTGCAGGTGCTGCTTATACATTAATATAGACAATAGAGCACACAAGGGCCATAGTCAGGGCAACTTCTTACACATAACCAAACATCTCATGGGATGAAGCTCCTAGGCTCGAAGGCGAAGGACCATAGACTCGAGGGTCATCTAGGTCAACTGGCACAACACAGTTCATAAAAATAAAGTTCTGCATCCTACTTTGATGAGTAGCATCTGGGGTCTTAAAAGCTTGCAAGTAGCCATCTAAGATACATCCATTGGTCTCTTACTGTCTGGAGCAAAGGAGATGAAGAAAACCAAAAACTCAAACGAGCAATTAGTCTAAAAGACTGATGGACCACACGAACCACAGCCTACACCACCCTGAGACCAGAAAAACTAGATGGTGCCTGGCTACCTACCGACTGCCCTGACTGGGATCACCACAGAGGGTCCTGGAGAGACTGGGAGAAAAACTGTGTAACAAAAAATCAAATTCAGAAAAAAAGACTGGGCTTACTGGTCTGACAGAGACTGGAGGAACCCCCGAGACTATAGCCCTAAGACACTCTTCTGAACTAGAACTAAAGCCGTTCCTGGAGGTCACCTTTCATCAAACCATAGACAAGCCCATAAAATAAACACTAACACCTGAGAGGAATGTGCTCCTTAGAATCAATTATATGAGATCAAAAGGGCAACATCTGCCCAAAGGCAAAGATGAGAAAGCAAAAGGGATAGAAAATCACGATGAAAGGAAATGGAGAACCTAGGATGGAAGTGCGGAGAGTGCTGATACATTGTGGGGAATGAAACCAATGTTATGGGGCACTTTATGTACAAAATAGCGAATGGAAAACTAATTTGCTCTGTAAATTTTCACCTAGTACACAATAATAAATAAATAAAAACCCTTAAAATTCAACAATAAGAAAATAAACAATCGAATTACAAAATATGCAGAAGATCTGAACAGAAACCTTAAAAAAGAATGTAGACAGATGGCAAAGAAGCAAACGAAAAGATGCTCGATAGGAATTCTCATTCATTGCTGGTGGAAATGTAAAATGGCAAAGCCACTAGAGAAGACCATTTGGCAATTTCTTCCAAAACTAAACATGGGCTTACCATTCGATCCAGCAATTGTATTCCTAGGTTATTTACGTAAATGAGATGAAAACATATGTCCACATTAAAAAACCTGCACTCAAATTTTTATAGCAGCTTTATTCATAACTGCCAAAATTGGAAGCAACTAAGATGTCCTTCATATGCAAATGAATAAGCAAACTCTGGTACCTCCATACAGTTGAGTATTATTCAGCAATAAAAAGTCACTAAATTGTACATGTGAAGAATGCTGAAATGGCAAATATTTAATAATAAACATTTAATGATAAATATTTAATAATAACATATAATAATGTATCAATATTATCAGTTGTTACAAATGAACCACAGGAATGCAAGGTGTTAACAGGAGAAACAATGTGCATGGGGAAGGTGGTATATGGGAACTCGCTATACTTTCTGCACAATTTTTCTGTAAATCTAAACCTAATCTAAAAAATATATATGTAAAATAAACTTTATTTTATTTTATATATGATGTAATTACAAGTTATTTCATTTTTTCTTATAAGCCAGGGAATGGTAAATACTTTGCTCAGCACACAGAAGTCAAAAAGAAAATAACACTACATGTGGATTACATAAAATTTTAAAATTATTTAGGGTAAAAAAATCTCCATAAGGTAACGCAAAAATTAAAAAAAATAGAATGCAGCATACACCTGTTGCCATTAAGTCCATTCGGACTCATAGCGAATGCAACGTACCTGACACAAAATATCTACATAGCTCTGTATCTACATGTCTTACTAGTCATAAAGACACACACACACAGAGCTTGTGCAAACAGCAAAATTCAAACAACCCACCAATAACAAAAAAGCATATTAAAACCATGAAATACCATAATTAACCCATCAGAGTAACAAAAATTCAAAAAAAAGGCAATATTAAGAAAGTTTTAGGAACTGAGGTTCTCAAATACCACGGCAGGTGCGTAAATTGATACATTATCTGTAGGGCAGCTGGAAGAAATCTACCAAAATAACACTGTGAAAATACCCTGTAGAAGATTTTACCTTACAGAATTCATCTCGAAGAAATGCCAGGAATTTATCTTACATATATACATATAGTGTGTGTGTGTGTGCGCGTTTAATGTTTAATACAGTAGTATTTGGATAGGAGAAAAATAAAACTAAATGATCATCAGTAGATGAATGGTCAAATAAAAACTGGAATACCATGTAGTCATTAAAAAGATTAAAGAAGGTCCTGACATAGTAAAACAGAAATGAACTATATGATTTGTTTTTAAGCACAAAAAGAGCAGGTCTCCAAAACCAGAGTTCATTAAATAGTATTTTATCTTACTGGCATTTATATCACAGTGCTTCACAGTAGGATATAAAGGATAAGACTATTAACAAAATCAATTCAATTTCTCATAAAAATGTATCTTTTTTTTTTTTAATTTGATAGTGTTTTGGGGTGACAAAAGTTATCAGGAAACCACTAATAATTCTGCTATTTCTTTTGCATTCCAGCTATGAGGACCACGGTGTATTAATTTCCTAATGCTGGTGCAACAAATTACCACAAACATGATTCCTACACCTCTCCTGCTTTCATGTGTACTCAAATTTATCTGTGTACATGTCAGCATTTCCCTGAGGAAAAAGATTCTGCCCTGTTACTTATACTGTGCCCTCACCACTAATGCCTTACAGAGTGCTTTATAAAAAACAGGCATTATTATTATTATTATTATTATTAAAAGACCAGAAACGACAGTCTCTTTAACACAAGCTTGTTAAAAATACATAAACATTTAAAAACACTAAGAAACTATAAAATACAACTAAATGTACTTCTTACCATACACAAGATATTTTAGTTGAAGATTTTTAACAACTTCTTCCACAGTAGGTTTATACTCAAGGAAACAGGTGTAAACTCCACTCATAGCCTCCTCGAAGTTCTGGAATACAAGGCTTCCTGTGGTTGTTACTTGTACAGAGCTGTTTTCTAATAAAGGAGTAAGATACAGTTCTTAATTGATTAAATTACTTGAGACTGAGAAAATTACCAAAAAAAAAAAAAAATTCTAAGCAAAGTAAAACCATCAAAATTTACCTACAGAGCCAATGAAATAAGTTGGAGCATACCTAGTCATTGAGCCTGGTGCTTGCTGACAGTGGGTGCCAGGATGACCTCCTTAGTGTCACTAACCAGAGTTCATCAATTGTATGGCTGCCTAAGTGGTAACAGACTAACAATTACAAGTACATAATATGCTGCTAATCTGCTCCTTGATTTGGGAAATGCGTATATTTTCATTATTTTTTAAATGATGAGTCACATCTTCATTAAGTTTACAAACTGCATATAAAGCAGTGTACCCGGGACAAAGGTTAACCCAATATAATCAGTAACAACTAGAGATTCTTGTCACTACACATGATACTAAGCAGTAGTTAGATTATAATCTTGAGGGCTGCAGAATAAAGAGATTAGATCAAGTGACTTGTCCAAGGTCACCCAGTCACTGAGTTGATCCCATACTACTTCCACATACCTCGTTACTTAAGTATCATACTGGGAGAAAGCTGTGCTGTGTAGTGGAAAATACAATTGATTTAGAAGCATTAAGACTTGGATTTCAGGCCTAGCTCCTTCTCTCATAAACTGTGTAACCTTGGGGAAATAACTTAAACTTCCTGAAGTCTAGTTCTTTCAGTTGTAATGACAACACATCTCATAGGATTGTTTTGTATTACAAATATAATGACTGTTAAACTAATTGACAAATCTATAAATCATTAAGCAAACGTAAGTTGCTATTCTGAGAAGTCATTACCATTGCTTTGTATGAGCAAAATTCTTATTAAAACTCAGTCAGTAATTTAATACGCTATTCATTACATTTGAAAGTACTATCTCAGTAAATAACTGTCTACCTTTTTTATATTTTAAGTAAATGATATATTGCTTATAAATTTCAAGTTGAAATATTTTTTCAAAGTATGAGTGCTGTTAGCAATGAAACTTTCATTATCAACTTGCTCAATAAATATTTATTTAATTTCTACTACATTCAAAGCCCTTTTTCAGATATTGAAGGAGAAATGAATTGATGGATACACACCCATCAAGGAATTTACATACAGCACTATGCCTTGAGAACTCCCATTTCTGTATCCTAGATGAAGCTGAAAAATGTGATATAAATTTCAAATTAATTTCTATCATAATGCCTATTTTTCATGAATAACTTTTGTCAAATGATTACATGTTCATCATAACATGTTCTCTTTTCTAAAACACACTATCAGATTTCAACTATTTGCCATATTTTTCAGCAGAAACACCTCACAGTAATATGATAAAAGGTGCTTCTAAATTTGAAAGAAATATCATGCCATCAAAGAGGCTACACAATCAATGGTAATAATTTAAAATAAAATGTTCTCAAACCAGTATTATCAGTCAATAGGCACACATATACAAATGTATATGTGTGTGAGTGTGTGTGTGTTAGAATACCTACTATAATGTCAAATATTATGAGGTCCAGAAAAATTGAGGAACAATAATCTATAATAAAACATCCTCTGGCTACCTTCTTGTTTAAAAATAAAAAATGTCATCTCAGTAGCACTCTAAGCACTGAAAAGATGCCTAGGGAATTCCATACCCAATGCAAGAACCCATTCTATAATATCACTTAACAAATTGACTCTTAAGGGACTAAGTCTAAATATGAACTTCATGACGCCAAAGGCTAGGTGCTGTAAGAACTCATTCAACATCAGATATTCAATAAATAATTATCGAATTAAAGTAGGTACTTATTTTTCTTTTTCTAGACGTTGGCTTGACTATCTAAAAATTCAGAATTGGACTAGATCTCTACAAGTTCATGCCTTTGAACTCTAAAAATACATGGCAATTATTCAAGCATAATTTCATTACAGCTTATTCTTTTTAAAAATTCATTTATAGTTCTGGTTTCAGCTAAAATATAGAAAATGAATATAAGTGTTGATCCTGCCATCACAATAAGGAAAAACTAGAGAAACCGCAAATTAACTTTTTTGAACCCATCAAAGAATTGTAGTGGCAGAGCAATCAATAACCTTAACTCTGGGGAGAGACAGATGACTGCAAGTAGAAACAGGGCCCAAGCATTTGCTTCAGCTACCATATAAACTGGTAAGAAAATTTAGCTCAGTTTTTAATGAATTGCTAAAAGCCAAGTGTAGACAAGTGTGAGCATGTCAAGCCTCTAGAGGCCACAGATAAAAGGAGCTTGTACCCTTTTATTGCACTGATGGCACAGTGGTTAAGAGCTCAGCTGCTAACCAAAAGGTCAGCAGTTGGAATCCACCAGCTGCTCCTTGGAAGCCGTATGGGGCAGTTCTACTGTGTTCTATAGGGTCACTAAGAATTAGAATCGACTTGAGGGCAACAAGTTTCGTTTTTCAGTTTGTAGGCTTTTCCTGCACAAACACCACCAAGTGGTATTTTTTTATGATGCTGGCTAGCCAAGGACCATGGCAGTCTTGCCAAAACTCCCCTCATACCCATTTCCGCTATCTCTTATAAGGAAAAAAGCTTTACAGAGAGAAAAAAGAAAAGAAAAACAAAATGTCTCCTTAGAGCACTGGTGGAAAGCAATGCAGTTGAAGAAGGAAACATGCTAAAATAAAATAAAAATTTTAAAAAAAGCCTTATCCCAGAGAAAGAGGCAGGAAGCAGTGATAGGTCCAGCACTCAAGTTGGAAGAGAGGGAGGAATTCCAATCGTGAAGGTCACAACACCAAAACCCAGGTACACAATGTATGCCAAAGACTGAGGTTTTATCAGAACATTAGAGAATGCCCCTCTCTCCTAACTGCCCACCACTAATAAGAAGCTAGTAAAAATAACAGTGAAATAAAGGGAGACACCTAGGCCAAGAAAAAATTAGACACTGAAGAAAATAATTTCTGATAAACCAGCCTACAGCTTAAACAAAAGATTTCACTAAGGATATCTGAAGCCTTCAATACACTAAAACAGCCACAGCAACACCAGCATCAAACCCAGACCAACTTGTGACTAGAGAACTAGAGGCTAAGAGGAAAAAAAGTTTTTTATGTCAAAGCATAAAAACCTCAATATCCACTGTCTTATTCAAGATGCCCAATTTTAACAAAATTTACAAGGCATCTGAAAAGGCAAGAAATGACATGTTTTCAACATACCAAGCAATGCACAAGACCAGACTTTTATATGACATAGATGTTAGAAATATCAGACAGTTAATTTAAAATAACTATGACTAATAGGTTAAAGGCTCCAATGGAAATATAGACAACATACAAGACTATATGGGTAATTTTAGTAGAGAGATTGAAAATACAAGAAAGAATCAAGTGGAAATGCTGGAACTAAAAACAAAAAGAAAGAAATGCTACAGTAACACAGATGAAGAATGCCTTTAGTGGGCCCATAAACAGACTTTACACAACCAAGGTAAGAATCAGTGAACCTAAAGATATGTCCAAATGAAATTAGCCAAATTCAAGCATGAAAAGAAAAAAAAGTGAAGGGGTGAGGGAAGCATCCAAAAACTGTGGGACAATATGAAACTGTATTACAGAAGTGTGATTAGAATCCCAGAAGAAGAGAGACAGAAAAGGACAGAAGAAATATTTGAAGATATAATTGCTGAGAATTTCCAAAAACTAAAGACAGACAACAAGCTACAGATCCAAGAAGTTCCCAAAACCAAGCAAGATGAATACAAAAAAAAAAACCTATGCATATCATTTTCAAATAGCTGAAAATGAAAGATAATTTGTAAGGCAGCTGGGGGAAAAAAAAAGAACTACTGCCTACAAAGGGACAAGAATAAGGATTCTGACTACTTCTCATTAGAAACTATACGCAAGAATATGTAATGAAACCTTCAGAGTGTTGAAGAAAAGAAAAAAAAAATTGCAAACCCAGAATTCTACAACCAGGAAAAGAAAAAGATGAGCAAATAAACTACAAAGCAAATGAAGAAAGGAAACAATGAAGATAGAATCAGAAATCAATGAAATTGAAAACAGAAATAGAACAGAGGAAAATCAACAAAACCAAAAGCTGGTCCTTTGAAAATACTGATAATATCAAATTGTTACAGCTGTGGACAGAGAAGCCAAAAAAAGAAAGAACATACAACAAATAAGAGAAATGACCAAGGGCACATCACCACAGATCCTAAATACATTCAAAAGATAATAAGGAAATATTACAAACTTTATGACTTTAATCCAATAAGTTGAAAAAAATTCAAGAAGCTGTATGAATTACTTGAAAGATATAAACTACCGAAGTTCACAAATAACAAGAAGAGGAAATCCTATTCCTATTATAGATTGTATCTAGGAACTCTGAAGCGAACTTCAAAGACACAGGACTTCAGGAAGATCCCTTATTCTCTCAATTTCTCAATTTCCCCACATATAACAATGGAGGAAATGGCATCTCAACTGCAAAGGGTTGTTGTGAAGATTAAATTATTAATATATTTAAATTTCTTAGCTACAGTGTAAATATTACATGTGTTTGCTATTATTCATATTTTTATGAAAGTCAACACCAAAAATACTCCTAAGATATACTCTGTTGGAATACATATATATGCAGTAAATGCATCAAGAAAATCAAGGGAATAATATTGTAGAAGTCTAGGATAGTGTTTACCTGAGGGGGATTTGTGGACAAAGGGATGGGATTTTAAAACAACATTTTGAAAGGTATTGATAATGGTATATCCATCTTAATTTGTGTACTAGGTTCAAGGATGTTTGTTGTACTGTTGTGATTCATAACTTGTATATATCATATATATAGGTATAAATAAGATGCTTCATAATAAAATGATACAGTAGAGTAAAATATAATCTAATCTATCATCTCACGTTTAAAAAAAAAACATAAGGGTGGGTTACAGGAGAAAGCTGAACTTTTGCGTTTATATATTCTTATCTATGTTTGCAAGAATGTTTTTAAGAAGTGGAAAAGTCCACACATCAAAAAGTTAAATCATTTCTTACTAGTTAAGCTAAACTACTGTTTAGTTTTAAGAAGACTTCAGGGGATATATTTGGTTTAGGGTTTAAAGATTATCTCAAGGCAATAGTTGCAGGGGTTCATCCAGCCTCCATGGCCAGTTTAACTAATTTAAAAATGTCTGCCGTGAGCATTATGCTCTTTTAAGAACTATATATGTATTCCAATAGAGTACATCTTAGGAGTATTTTTGGTGTAAATGCATGCTAAATGATTCACTTCAAGGAGCCACTGTCTTGACGTAAAGTGTAGAATAACTCTTTAAAGTCTGAGCTATTTTGTAATAAATATAAACACAGGAATTTACAATAGGGATCCTTCAATTATATAAAAATGTGAATTAAAATATAATACAAAATAAATATTTCCTATGAATTCTTTTGGTATGTCCTTGAATAAATATGCTGTTTTTCTTCGTTCAAGGTAATAAACCTGTAGGTTTTCATCCACAGGCACTACTTCAAAATACCAAAAAGGCTGAGGAAAAAACAAAAAAACAGCACAGTAAAGAAAAAATTCCTCAGAGAATACACAAAAACAACAAGGTGTTTCATTCAACGTATCTTTAGGAAGAAAATTCATCAATCTTGATTTTTAGCGAGGCTGAAAGAAAAACAGCTAGGCTAATTTGTATTTTTCAAACTATACTGTAAAAGTAAATCTGCTTTTAGCAAATGAAAAACTACAATAAAAGTAAAATATTCATTTCAGAATAACAATAGGAAAGTTTAACCAAACCAGCCACACCAACAGTAATCTCTACCGGGAAAAAGCAGCTTTGTGAGAATAAGGACTTGTTTTCTCAAAAACCTAAAAACCGTAAAGCTACCATTCAAGTGTGTCTCAAATTCATTTTTTTTTTCATGTGGATAAACCCAAGTGCTATGTTTCTTTATTCATAACCAAATCATTAATAATATTAATAGACAACCACTGTCAATCCATGTAGTATATTTAAAAGCAAGCTTTAATACTAAAGTAACTAGGTTAAATTTAGCTATTTGTTTCAAATTGAATAATAATTCTTAAATTGAATTACAAATATAATCCATATTGTCTGGTCAGAATTTTAGACAGAAAAATGTAAATCAAAACATATAATAACAATAAAGTCTCAAATTGTCCCTATGTGGGGCTATATAAAACCATACTTATAAATCCATGGCTCCAAGTGCTCATTCGTTACGTTTTATAAAATCCAGATTCCCTTTGTTTTTTCATATATACTTGGCTAGCAAAAGTCTAACTAACTAAAATGATTTTCTGAACTTTAAACAAAATAACTTTTTTTGAAATATAGATGCATATCAAACTCTCCAAACAGTTCATTCTTCTACATTATCTCTATTTATTTCAAATTAAAATATGGGGAAAAAAATGGTAACACCAGCTACATTGTTATATTCTAACTCCAACAGGAAACTGTAGAAAAAAGTAGAGGGAATGGATAAGTGTTAATGAAATAAAAATCTTCTTTTTGTTCTGAATACATTTTAGATACATCAATTTAATTATGACAATTGAAACAAAATCCTTACCTGAAATGATTTTACCTCTCGGCCCATACCATTGGTAGGATGGATCTATCAGTTCTGCGTTTCGCAGTTGTTGGGTTGCACATAACAAATGTGGACTTCTTTGATGGAGCATGACATATACTTTCACTGAAAATACAACATTAAAATGTTCCAATAATATTTTATGTTCATTCTTTCTATAATGCTTTACATTTTTGTAGGTTAGGTTACATATTTTGATAGGTTTTCTTTGTATTACTGCTCCTATTGAACTAAGTCTCATTACTTCTATGTAGATAACATTAAAAATATACATATCTGCATTGTATATATGTATGTTCTCAACTTGAAAATAATAAGCTTCTTTTTGTTTTTTTTATTCAGAGCTCACTTAGACTAACCAATTTTATTTTCAGAATACTACTTTAATTACGAAGTATTAAGATAATTCTACATTTAGATTTAATCTACTCTGTTTTACAAAGCCAAATCTGAAAGTAACTGATAAATGTGTTTAGCTTAAAAGAATACTACATTATTCACAGTGATGTAGCACAATTTTCTGGATAAATATTACAATGTGATTAAAAGTCAATAAATATGTGCTTTGATTGATTTTAAATACAGTAGTCCCCCCTTATTTAAATACAGTAGTCCCCCCTTATCCACGGGGGATACGTTCAAGACTTCCTGTGGATGCCAGAAACCTCAGATAGTACGAAACCCCACACATACTATGATTTGTTCTATATATATACCTATGATAAAGTTTAATTTATAAAGGTACAGTAGATTATCAACAATAATAAAATAGAACAATTATAACAATATACTGTAATAAAAGTTATATGAATGATGGAACAGAACAGCATGAGATTTCATCATGCTATGCACTCATTTAACATTTTCAAACCATGGATGACCATGAGTAACTGAAACCATGGAAAGGGAAACCAGCGACAAGCGGTGGGGCTACCATACTAAGCATTTTGTTCCATTTGTCTTTAAAATTTAAAGAATTCTCATAAGTGGACAAGCAAAAATAACATTCTAAAGGAAATACAAAATGAGCACAGTGAAGATTCCATTAATATACTTTTGAGCTTACTCATAAGGAAGCTTTCAGAAAAGTTCCAACAAATCGTCAGAAATGTAATGGCAACATTTCATTGATTCACCATATTTGAAGATTAGTGTGACCAAGTAAAATAAAATCTATTTTTGAGAATCAAAATAAAATAATCTCTAAAGAATTGCTTCTAAAGTTTTACCATAAAGTATGATGTTTTTAGGTAGACATCCCTCATAGGATTAAGAAAAGTTCCCTCTATTCTTAGTTGGCTTATTTTTTATCATAAATTGTTGAAATTTAACAAATACTTTTACTATACCAATTAAGATGAATTTTTTTTCTTCTTGAATATTTTAATAAAATGCTTGACATTAACAGATTGCCCTCCTAGAATAAACCTAATTGGTCATGCTTTTTTACCTAAACACTTCTGGATTCAATTTGCAAATATTTTTCTTCAGATATTTGCATCTGTGTTCCCAAATTTAACTGATGTATAATTTTTTTCTTGTACTATCTTTTGTCCTTTTCCAATTTCATTACTGAAGCTGTTATTTACTATTTATTATTAAGGTAAGCATCTAAGTTTATAATGGACTCATAAAATGAAACGTGCAGATGTTATTCTAAAAAATTTCTCTGAAAGGTCATACACAGGATTTTTGTTTTCTTTTTCCCTTAGAAAACGTATAGTCTACTGGGAGGAGTAGGAAAACAAATTTGTGACTACCAAGAACTGATTATTAGTCTACTCAGTGATTTAATAAAGTCTTTTAGAAATTTACATTTTATGCAGAATCATCCATTTCAAATGTTCAGAATATTAACTTACGCTTTTTAAACTTTCACCATATCTTTAGTTATTGATAATGTTTATTTGTACTTTATTCTCTCATAATAAATTTTGCCAAAAGTTTGTCTATTAACTGTTGAAAAGACAGCTTTTGTTGTATTGAACCTCTTTACTTTGTCTCTTTTATTAACATCTGCTCTTGTTTCTCTTCTTTCCTACTTTTCTTCAGTTTACAAGTCTCTTATTTTCTCTACCTTCTTTTAAAAATGCTTACCCCAACAATTTCCACTGCTTAGAATGACTTACAGGTCATCCTTTCTATGATCTCTCTTTTACATGTATCTTAAAAAAAACCAAAACTGTTGCCATAGTCAGTTCTGACTCATAGTGACCCTACAGGACACAGCAGAACTGCCCCATAGGGTTTCTAAGGCTTTAAATCTTTACAGAAGCAGACTGGCATATCTTTCTCCAACAGGGCGGCTGGTGTGTTCAAATTGCTGATCTTCTGGTTAACAGCCAAGCGCTTAACCACTGCACTATGAGGGCTACTTACATATATCTTACTACATCTTTTTCACATGCTTTGACCTTATCACGTCAAACTACTCAGATCCCTAAAGCAGTGAACCTCACCTCTCCTTTGTGGTTTTACTCATGTAACTACCTAAATGTCTCCTCCTATTTGGAGTCTCAACAACAACATACCCTTTTTGTTCTGGCTTCTTTGACAGTTCAAGTGGCCCCAGCCACTACTATTCCCTTCTCTCTCCCCCACTAAACTCTGTACATATTTCAATCACAGCAAATATAAGTAAACCAGCCAGATTTCCTAAAGGAAGCTCAACATACAATAATAAACGATATTCTTCTATATCAAAAATAATGAATTAAAGTATAATAGAAAATAAGACAGTATTTTTGGGAACAATTAACAGGTATTAATCTATAATCAAACAAAACCTTTATGGAGAACATTTTTAGCCTGTACCAAAAGATATAAAATTAGACCACAATGCCATAACAATGAAAGGGTAGACTTACTTTGTAGATACCAATTTACACCCATATTTGAGGTCTATAGTCAACAGAGTTGCAAGTAGAATCCCAACACAATTTTTTAATAAACTCAGAAATACTTATTCTAAAATGTGTTCGGAATACTAAAGATTCATTAAGTAGCTAATTCAATAAAATAAAAGCAAAGAGAAGAAATGTTATTAAAATATATTACAAAGTTACATTAATAGGGTGGTCTAGTGTAGGAAAAAAGCAATAAACGGAAAAGAGCAGTGAGTCTAGAAGAAAAATCAGATAGGTATAAAAAATTGCTATATGATGAAGGTAGCACGCTGAATTACTGGAGAAATTATAGGTTATTAACAAATAGTGTTAGAAAAAATATAACACTTGTCTTAGTCATCTAGTGCTGCTCTAACAGAAATACCACAAGTGGATGGCTTTAACAAAGAGAAGTTCATTTTCTCACAGTCCAGTAGGTTACAAGTCCAAATTCATTCTGTCAGCTCCAGGAGAAGGCTTTGTCTCTCAGTCGGCTCTGGAGGAAGGTCCTTGTGATGAATCAGTCTTCCTTTGGTCTGGGAGCATCTCAGCGCAGGAACCTCAGGTCCAAAAGACATGCTCTGCTCCTGGCACTGCTTTCTTGGTGGCATGAGGTTTCCATGTCTCTGCTCGCCTCTCTCTTTTATATTTCAAAAGAGATTGGCTTAAGACACTATCCAATCTTGTAGACCTCATCAATATAACCTCATCATAGTGATAGAGTTTACAACACATAAGGAAATCACATTAGATTACAAAATGGTACACAATCATACAATACTGGGAATCATGACTCACACATTTTTGGGGGGGACATAATTCAATCCATTATACCACTCTATACACAAAGATGAAATTATGTGTATACCTCACACCATAATAAAAAATAAATTCCAGATAGACCAAAAACATAAAGGCAAAATCATATCAGTTTTAAACAACATGTAAAATTCCTTTATGACTTTGGGATATAAGTAATATCTTTGTCTTTGGGATATAAAGGGATGTTTCTTAACGCAAAAAACACATATGTATAAACAAAAATATTAAACTCAACTTCTAAAACATTAGCAATTTCTTTTCAATCCTATGTATCACAGACAAAGTTAACAGATTTGACAGCTGGGGGATGATATCTGCAAACAGTATAATCAATGAAAACTTAATAACTGAAATATATAAATAATATTCAAGGTATGCCTTAGCAAACATCAAGAAAAAGTCAAAGATAACAATGCCAGGTTAGCAAAAATCAAAAAGTTAGAAAATATTTAGTGCTGGTGAGGATGTCAGAATAGATACAGACATGACATACAAAATGGTATTCACTATACACACGAGGAAAAGAAAAAGAAAAAAAAATGAATTACTTGGAAGTGCAACAAAGATGTAAATGAATATTTATTGAAAGAATGCAAACACAGGTGAATGAAAATTGAAGACCAACTGAACAGAAAAGATTAAGTAAAAGGTTAAAACAAAGATCACAGAATATAAAAGGGACAGACATAGACAAATAATGAGACCTTACATTTTACAAGGAACTGAAGAAATTCCAGGCAAGAAAAATCAGTCAGTCAGCATTTTGGGGGCCACAACCAATAAAATATCATATAATAATCTACTATGTGATGTAAGAATTATATACTGAATTGAAAAACAATAATCCATTTTTAAGATCAAGTTTAATCTTACACAATACAATAAAAAAATAAAGAAGAAAATTAGTTAAGATCAGCAGTTAAGGGGACTTCCGGCACCATGGCACTCTAGGCAGAAGCACCACACAGTCTCTCCACAGCAAAGATCCGAAAAACTAAGCTAAACAAAGAAAACAGCAATCCTGAAACCCTAAAACATCAAATGAAAAGATAAAGAACTCAACGAAGCACCAAATGGAGTGAGAAAAATGACAGAGAACGGACAGCGAGGAGACGTTCATGCGGAGGTCCCCTATCAGCTAACGCAGCACGGATCTGCCATATTGGACTTCTATCAGAGACCAGCAAATAGGGGGTATGAGAAAGCAGCTTCACAGAGCTTCCAGCAGGAGACAGAACAACTGGTAATTTGCGAAATATGCTTTCCCATCCCCCACCCTTCTTCACCCCCACTAGGCTTCCTCTGCTTCCCGCGGCCACAGTCTCTTGGCTGGGAAGCACTGGCTGCTTGGATTCCACCCACCCGCACTGGCCAACTCCCTGAGTGCCAATTTTTGGC